ATTTAAAGAATGAATGGCTGCTGAAACAAGTGTTAAGGACTGAGAATGACTATGCAGGGATGGCTGTTCATCTGCCTGAGGCACAGAGGACACTAAATGAGAAACTCAGACATCAGTAGCCTATAGTTATGTTTATTATCTCACCCAAGACTACCAGCATTAACATAATAAATAAAGGACACTTCCGCTGAACATTTTTTTAAACCAGCCTGGGGCACAAGGAACAATTTACTGCTGCCAACTCCTTGAGACATCACATCATAGACAAGAAGTCATTAGTTGGCCATTGACTGTACACCCCCAGTACAGTATGCCTTATTGACTCCTTGCAGGGAGGGAATATCTAGATTTACAAGTAAAGCCTACTGTATTGGGAACCTGGCCCTCACAAGTATAGGTGATGTTACCTTAGGGTGTCATCACTAAGGAACACTTTGTATCAGTTTATGGCATTTACATATTCCCCCTGAAGAGCAAACAAATAGAATGGTATGGTACACTTGCCTTGGCAAGCCTATTGTGCAGGCTGCTTTACTAATAAAAGATCATACAATATCCTATGTACTGCTTCATAGAGCTGATCTGCCATTATTTTTGTCTATTAGACATTTGTCCAAATGTTAGCAACAAGTAACCTATTCCTGAATTGGGCAACAGAAGTTGCACATCATACCAATTAGATTGATTATTGGTTCTACAGAGAACTCCCGGTGACTGCGGTGCAAAGACTTCCCTGGGTAGTTTGAACTAGAAATGAGATGGAATGGACTTGGATAAAACAGAACTGGACTAAAACAAGATCTCTTACCTTACGCCACGTGTTTAAACAAATTAATACTTTCTTAATTACCTGAGCATGCTTGCTGGTAGGTTCTTGCTCTTTGTACTTCTGTTGTAAGATGTGGATAAAATGTGCCTCCAGAGCCCTGGCTTGTGAAAGACATGGGATGGTCTGGGATTGTGAGGGATACGAAGGGGCTTCCAAGGGTAAACACTAATTGGTGCCTATCAAAGCTTGCAATGAAATAAGATCTCTAAAAGAATGTGATAAGAAAATGGAAAGGTAGAGCTGGCCATTTTCCTTCTCTCCAATCTTTAAGAAAGGATCTAAACAATGACTCTGATTGTAAAGTAAAAGAATATATCATAAAATATCTGAAGAATCCACCTGTGCAGTGGGCATGCAACCTATCCTGTATATTCCCCCTGCTTGTAGGCATAAGATGAAAATGCAACTGAAAATGCTGAGGAAATCATATCCACCAGCGGTACTGATCCAGTGTCTCATAGGAATTTGAGCATCTGGTCACACCAGCTTCCTCAAGTCTGATAATCTTCATTCAAATATTTTGTATCCTGGCCCACTGCCTCCAAGGAGTAATAAAATGTCCAAAACCTTTTCATTGTGTTCTCCAAGTTCTTTCACTGGAATTGGTAAACAGTATTCTGGGATGTTTGCAGCCCTGGGGTTGCAAACACTAAAACTGAAGGCTCAAACCTATTAAAGTTCTGCAATAATCTGCCTGTTGTTTTCATACTAAAGATCACAACTTAGGTTGAAAGCGAGGAAAATCCCCAGTGGGCAGGAAGTGAAACAAACAGGAAACAAGAAATGATAAGGGCTGAAGCCACAGATGTCTAGAGACATTGCTGGTCCCTTAAAAGTAAAACAACTTTGTCAGTCTCTTATAGATTATTCTTATATTTTAACAACCATTTTACTATCCTGAAATGAAATTCATAAATAAGAGTCTACCAGGGCTGGGGATGTGGCTCAAGTGGTAACGTATTCGCCTAGCATGCGTGAGGCACTGGGTTCGATTCTCAGCATCACATAAAAATAAAGATATTGTGTCCACATGAAACTAAAAAAAAAAAATAAGAGTCTACCTATATATTTTATCAAAGAAATAACAGTAACAAATGGGGAATAAGTGTCAATTATGATAATATACAATTCAATTTCAAAATGTAAATTCTTCACCATGACTACATTAGAAACATGATACTGTCAGATGTTTGCATCTAAACAGAATCACCATGAATTTGACAACTATAAATGCAACTGAAAATGCTGAAGAAATCATATCCACCAGTGGTACTGATCCAGTGTCTCTCAGGAATTTGAGCATCTTGATCACACCAGCTTCCTCAAGTCTGATAATCTTGATTCAAATATTTTTGTACAACTCTCCAGCAAAATTGAGATCCAGTTCCTCATAGTGGTAAATTTGCTTGATAATGTTCCCTTTATTGACCACCTTCTCTTCCCTCTCACTTTTTCACTTCCTTATGGGGCTCCCTGCATATCTCATAGACCAGATACCATTCTTGTTAATAAAATTTTCAGAGGTTATAAAGGGTCTAGAATTTTATCCTACTTGCAAGCTAGTAAGTTAGACTGCTGTTCTTTCATGATATTAGCAGAAGACATGAGACTCCTGGATCAGACAAAAAAAAACTTTATTACTTATAGTACAATAAGAAACATGAACATAATGTTTGTGCCAGTTCCCCATGACTCCCATTCCCAAAAGTGCCACAGATGGGCCTAGATGGATTCCTCTACGGGCAGACCCTGATGTTGTAGACTCAACCCTTTTATAGTAAACAGTGCAAAACCCTGCTCACAAAGTAGTTTACTGCCAACAGAATACAGAGGAATGGCCTAGGAAGACAGTGACACATGTTGCTTTCATACAAAGCAAGAATCTTCAGGGACATTCAGGGCTCATGCATTACCTTTCCCAGTTCCTTTTTCTCCAGGTCACATAATCCAGTATTTGGTGACCAAATACTACTCACTCCTCATCAGTGATTTCCCAGAAAAGTCTGTTTCAGAGAAATCTCCCTGTAAGGCCCAAAGCTCCTTCATGTCAACCAAGATCCACTGCCAAAAATTCTGAGGCCTTTACTATTGTGTCTGCGATAGACCGTGGGAAGCTGGCTGTAAGATAGCTCAAAGTTGCCATTCTTTCTTACATACCTAGTTTCTTCCCTTCTTCTTATGCTCATGTAAGTGCATGTCTGCATCTGTCTTTTTCTCTCTCTATATATATGTAACTAGTTAAAATGGGGCAGAAATGAGGCTGGTTGCCAGATTAATCAGGAAGTCCTCCTAACCAGAGGAGTTAAAAACAAATAACAACAAAAAGGGGCATCTTTTGAGCAGTTATCTTTGATAGTTTTCTGTTGTTGCGATAAAATACCTGATAAGTCAAACTTAAAGAAGGAAATATTTATTTTGGCTCAGTTTCAGAGGTTTTAGTTCATGGTCACTTGACACTGTGGCTTTAGGTCTGTGGCAAGGCAGAAAACCATGGGAAGGGAACGGAGGGAGCAAACTTCTTCACAAGTTGGGGGCAGGGTCCAGTATCCCCTCCAATTAATCACAAAGTAGTTTACTACCAACAGAATACAGAGGAATGGCCTCTGTAATAGCCTAAAAAAATAGCCTAACTTCCTGCCAGTATGCGCCACCTCCTAAAAGTTCCACCACCTTCCAATAATAGTACTACAGTTTGGGGAGCAAGCCTTCAACACATGAGCCTTCAGCGAACATTTCAGATCCAAATCAGAGCAATCTCTCAAGTTATTTCCCACTATTCAGCCAGTAACCAGTTCTCTAATTCCTCATTAACATGCAATGTTAAATTTAAGCATTCAAAACATCAGTCTGATAAGTGGACCATAGAAAAGAATATCAAGAAAATCCACGGTATTAAAAAAAGTTTATAAGAATCTATGTTGATTTTTAAGGTAGCATGGACATCAGAGGAGTTACCTGCACATAATGTTCTTTCAGCTGGGTTTTCTATTTAATAGCAGAGAAGATTGTTAATGGGGACAGGATATATTCTATAAAATCAGTGACACTGCAGCTTTCCCAGATGATTTCCATCAAGGAGACAACGGGATGTATAATGTGGTTAGTCTGGGTGGATATAAGGTAGAGTTGGTGAGAGGGCTGTAACCGGAGAAGGAACTCAGTTCAAAAGAAATACAACTTTGGGGCTGGGGATGTGGCTCAAGTGGTAGCGCACTCGCCTGGCATGCGTCCGGCCTGGGTTCGATCCTCAGCACCACATACAAACAAAGATGTTGTGTCCGCCGAAAATTAAAATAAAAATATTTAAAAAAAAAAAAACAACAACTTTGTGTGTATGCAAACAGACCTTGCACCTTTTATTTCCCAAGGTTTTTCTGAAGCAGAAAATACTGTTTCTAAAAAATAAATAAAAATATTACAAACACTAAATAAGCATTAGCAACTGAAATTTGTAAATAATAAAAAACACTGGTGACCTTCTCCTTAGTGGTACTAAGTGTAGTTGGAACTGCACTTTTATAAAGCTGGAGGAACAATATTCCTAAAGGTCACAGGATCTAGGCAAGGCTGAACTCTTCTCGAACTAGGCTGCAGAAATACTGCAAAAAAATTTGTTTGTGTATGTGTGTATGATGGAGAATCAAACCCAGGACCTCACACATGCTAGGCAAGTGCTCTAGCACCGAGTCTTTTTATTTTGTGACAGAGTCTCACTAAATGGCCCAGGTTGATCTCAGATTTGCCATCCTCCTGCCTTAGCATCCCAAGTAGCTGGGATTACAGGCATGCATCAATGCTCCCTGGTGATGCTCTTTTGTTGCGTAGAAACACAAACTCTGGTGCTACAATGGGATCTATTAAGTGATGTGTGACAAATAATTCAAGTTTTATGTCTCAGCTTCCTCATCTATAAAACAGAGATAATAAAAGTACCTACCTCTTAGAAGTACCGTGGGCTTTAGTGAGTTAATACATGTAAGGTACTTGGAACACTTCCTGGGACCAAGTAATGAGTGTTCTTATTATTCTTACCAGAGAGCTACGAGTTTCTCAGTTATGGGTTTTCAGGGCTCTATGAATAGTTAAACAGCCTGGAAATGAAAAAAACCTACAGTAGTAGAGAAACTAATAACACTTGCTGCTCTGTTCCTTCCATCAAGACTATGACTCATTTTTTCACATCTTCTTTCCTTTTATTGAAAAAAAAATTTAGAAAATGGCAATTAATAAAGGTCGCAAACAAATCAACAGGGATATACTATGGAAAACAGACAATATAAAATTAAAAATGCCACTGGCTTCTTCAATTGATTAAGAACACAAAATGTGTTTTTAACAGGCAGGTCTTTTTAGACAAATTTAAAAGCTATATTTTGTGGGTTTTTGGAGTTTCCCCAAGTCAGATATATACACACCCACAAAAATGGTGTGTGAGGAAAGCTGTCATACACAAGAAGTTGTATCCTGAATTCTTTAGGAAACAGTTGTTGAAACAGAAATTAACATGAAGTCAGCAACAGGTTAACAATTTTTTAAAATTGAGTCTTCAAATGCTGCATGGCACAAAGCTATACTATAGAAAGTACTACTACGTACAAAAAAAAAAGTTTTATACAGCTTTCAGCAAGAATGCTTTTCCAAAGCAAGTCAAAACAACACAATCAGCAGACCAAGGAAGCTACAGCTAGAAATAAGAGCTACAACTTCTTGTATCTGTGCTAGAAAATCCTATTTTTCCAGAAGAGACTAAAATTTCAGGACAAAAAAAAGGGACATTTTAAACATTTCTTACTTTACCCATTTTAAGTTCTGTTTCTTCCCCCACCCATCCAGTAATTCAGCATGATCCAGCAGAAAGAGGGCTGCTTTTAGAATTGGCTATTTTATTTTTCTTTCTGTGGCAAGACTGTCATGGAGCCTGGATATTTCAGGCTCGTATGCATCCATGACCAGTGTCCCGCTGTGGTCAAAAAACTTGGCGATAGACTTAGTGAATTCGGCTTCCCGCTGCTGCTTTGTTCTCCCACTGATGAAGGTCAGTTTCAGTGTATATTTGTCATCAAACCTAAGCATCAGGGCAAAAGACAGAATATCAAAAACAAACACATTTTAGAAGATATTATAAAATATTATGCATACTGCTAAGTGTGATGGTAGTATTTTCCTAAAGTTATCTGTGGATGACTGATTATGATATCCAGGATTTGTTTCAAAATATTTCAGTAAGAGAAAAAAATGCTACATGCTTATGTCACAAGACTGGAAAATGCAGACAGTTACAGCAACTGGGAAATAAGCACATGGGAATTGTGTTATTTTGACTTTTCTGCATATTTAAAAACATGTATAATAAAAAGCTTTATAATTGAAGAGAAAGGGAAAAACAAACAAGAGCACAGATGCAACCAGTAATAATACAGGCACCAAGTATTTCTGAAAGAACAAGGTGGGCACTGGTGATACAGGGAACATGCAAATACTTTATACTTGGGCCCAAAACTATTCTGGGAAAGCCTTCTTAAACCCTCATCTGGGTTACATGTGTCTCCTTCTTCTTCCACAGCACCATCAATTAATATTCAATTCAAATACTAACCCTTCTTCTTCCATCAATTAATATTCAATTCAAATACTAAATGCCTATGATATTCAGTTTTAAAGATAGCTTCCATGCTTTCAACAAAATTATCTGTACTGAAATGAGTTTGTGTATTTGTGTTTTTCACTAGATTGGGAGATTCCTGAGGGCAAGGATTTTTGTCTTAACTGCTTACTATCATCAGCATGGCACTTGGGTAGGCAACCACATTTTTCTGAATAAAGAACCCTTGCTATCAAGGAGGCTCCCCAATTCTAGGGTGCTTAGCCCTTGCAATCTGTAAAAATTGAGCTCTAGGCTCTACTGACTCCATACCCACTGCTTTACTTCATGAACTCCAGAGATTCCTGTTATACTTTAAGGTACAGGAAGGTCTTTATTATTTCTACCCATTAAGAGGATTTAATGATACCATTTTCTGGTAGGCTGACACCCCCTCACCACCTGCTTCTGTCCACTTATTAGGGCACATTCAGTGGATTATCATGCAGGTATTATCCTTAGTTGAAGAAATTTCTTATACACCTATTTCTGCATGTTTAAAACAGAAACACTTCCACTTACTTTAAGGATTACTATCATAGTCAGAATGGTACCTACTGTTTGACCATAGCCTCCCAAAGCATAAGTCTTCAATAAGTCGTTGGACATTATCCCAACTTGGATAATGACTACTGAAGGCTCTTGAACTATTTTAATCGCCTCAAAAGATTTTTCTCAAGCTCTATTCACTTGTTGTTAACTGAATCACAGTAATTTTTTGACTTCTGGGCCCTGTTTTATTAGCAGTTACATTCCTTTGATGGCAGGACATGATCTGATGAATTGTAACCTGATGCAGCTTAGAAATAGCTATCCTTAACTCAAACATTTATTGAGCACCACACCTAGTTTTAGATACTAAAAATATACAGCAATGAACAATATATATAAACCTCTGCCTTTTGGGGATTTTCATTATAGTGTGTGTGAGGGGACCAAAAAAAAAAAAAAAAAAAAAAAGATGTTCTTTTAAATATAACAGGGCAGGAAGCTTCACTAGGCAAATGTTTGAGCAGAGCCCAAAGAAGGCAAGAGAATGAACTATCAGAGAAATTGATATCCCGTGCAGAGGAAGCTACAAGTGCAAAGGCCCTTAGGCAGAACATATCTGGAATAAAGAGTAGAAAAGGGTCTTGATGAACAGAATGAAGTGGGAGACAATGACAACCATTGATGAGGGGTACAGACAATAGATACATATTAACTTCTAAACCACAGTTAGAAACTTAGCTTTTTCTCTACATAAGAGTTTTGAGCTGAAGACTGAGGTGATCTGACGTTTTAGATGGATCAGTATGACTAGTTCAAGTACATTTCAGTCATTCACACAATAAAGCTTTCTATACATCTAAACTGTGCCAGGCCCTAAGCTAGCTCTGAGGACCTAGAGTTGAGACAATCCCTGCCTTGGCTTAAGTATCGAGTATGTAGTGAATGGTAAAGGGGCTCACACTGCGAAGGAAGAGGGCCTACGAGGAGACAAAGATAAGCAATATAGTTCCAAATGACCAGGGTAACAGAGATAAGCGTAAGACGCTCAAGAATACCTAGGTGTACCTAACCCAGACTAAGCTATGTCAGGGAAGACTCCTTAGGAGGATAACAAATAGGAGGCAGGTGACAGATAATCAACCCAGAGAAAACAATCTTGATTGAAGGCACAGGGTCAACTGGAAAACTCAGCAAATTAAAAACTCCATGATACTGCTAGAGTAAAAATACATGTTTTGAGAGGGGCACAAAAAGATATCATGAAGGACAGATGCTGAAAGACTGCACATGCTAATGGAGTTCAGGGTATTTAATAAATGTGCTGAGAAGCAAGTAAACTGCAGAATTCTTACACAAGTCACAAAGCTTGTATAAATCTGAATATGGCAAATGGTGGTCTGTGAAACCTTTCACTGCCATTCCATACGGCAGTTATGGAACAAGATGTCAGAACCAGGAACTATTAAACCACTAGAAGAAGAGTTGGGAGGACAGAAGAATTTCTCCACCAACAATATGGCAATTGGCAAAAATGAGAAGGGAGTACAGAAAAATCAGAACCTTTATATAGTGCTAGTGGGACTGTAAAATGGTGCAGTTACTTTGTTAAACAGGTTGGCAATTCCTCCAACAGTTAAAGAGTTACTATACGATTCAGTAATTCCTCTCCAACAGAAATGAAAGCATATCCACACAAAAATCTGTACACAGATGTTTATAGCAGAATATTCACGATAGCCCAAAGATGATGACAACCTAAATGTCACCATTAATTGATGAACGGGTAAACAAAATGTGATACATCTTTGCAATGGGATATTATTCAACCTTTAAAAAAGCAATGAAGTACTGAAGAAGGCTACAATGTGGCTAAACCTTGAAAACATTATGCTAAATGAAAGAAACCAGTCACAAAAGGCCACACAGGCTATACATTCTAAAATTTAATTCACATTAGATGTTCATAGAAAACATTTACATAGTAAGTAAGTAATTGGATATTGCTTAAGGTTGGGGGGAAATGGGGAAATAGGAGGTAATAGCTAAAATTTATAGGATTTTGTTTGAGGTAATGAAAATGTTCTAGGGTTGACTATGGTAATGATTGCAAATAACCGTAAATACACTATAAACTAATAAAGTGTACACTTTGGGTGAACTGTATGGTTGGTGAAGTATATCTCAATAAGGCTGTTAAAAAAAAAAAAAAACATGTCAGAATAAAAATAATGAAATCAAGATGTTGCCAGATTCTAAAATTATGCAACTCTTCTTCAGTGGCCTGGGAAGAAGTTCAGATTCACAACAGCTGAGTAAAAAAAGAGCTAGAAGCCCTGCTCCAAGGATAAGCAAGAACTCAGCTATAACATCAGAATGAAGGTCTGCTCCCCTTCTTCATAGACATCTTCACAAATCAGCAATGAAAGAGAGCATTTATTTGGTGCTGATGCTATGTTATCTTCATATATGTGAATAATTGTAACTTCAGGACCTACTTTTAGGAAGTATACCATGTATTTTTAGTTAATGACAAAGGCATGACTTCTGGACTTAAACCAGGTCTGGAATGCCTACTCTAAAACTTCTGGATTACATGATGCTAGAAGAATTAATGTAACCTTTGGACCTGTGTTCTTATCTATAAACATATGTTCTAAAGTCTATTTAGCACAATACCTGAAAAACAATAAATGTTTAATAGACATTTGCTATTATTATAACTGCTATCATATCTTCCCAACAACTCTAAAGAGTCCTTTTTGACTTCACTAAAGGCACATCGTTTATATGATTTATCAAAAGTCATACATTGAGAAACAGACTGAGCTGGCATATGGATTCCATTCTGGGTACTTACATGGACTCTGGACTGTATTTTATAAAGTCATACAGAGCAACGTTCCAGAGATTCTTGACAGCATTTAGTGTGTAGTCAGGATCATAGAAGGCACAAAAACTAAACAGAGGTTTTTCCAAAGATAACTGATCTCATACCTTTGTCATTTGTTAACTTGTCACAAAGGATAACATTCTTTATCCTTTCACTAAAGTACTTTCTTAGAAAGTTTATCCTCAGAGGATTTCTGTGATAACCCAACCTCAGAACTGCAATGTTAGAAAAAACCTTTTAGATCATTCACATCCCTTTCTTCATTTTACATCACCAGCACTATGCATGATCTGCATAGAACACACATACAATATTTGTTGTTAATAATGACGACACCATGGGGCAAATACAACACCAGGATTTAAGAATTTATAAGGATAGTCATTACCTTTTGAGACTGGAGGACAGTTGCCAAATATCATCAGGATCCATACCAGTAGGATCTTTCCTGTGAGCCACAAGAAAGATGCTCTTCTCCTTATATGAGGTATAAATGGTCAGAATCCCCATCATCACGAAATAGGTTCAAATAAAGTTAAGGGGAAAATACACAAACAAAAGAGAAGTAACCCAAACTGACAAGAACACAAAAACTTTCATGATAGTTTAAAAAAAAAAAAATTTTTTTTTGTAGTTGTAGATGAACAGCATGCCTTCATTTTACTTGTTTATTTTTATGTGGTACTGAGGATCAAACCCAGTGTGCCTTACACATGCCCTGCCACTGAGCTACTACAGTCCCAGCCCCTCATGATAGTCTTAAAGAAGATGGTCGATTTTGCCTTACTGCAAAAACACTTAAATTTTAACTATTTCATTTTCATCCTATGTTTATGTACCAAGAGAAGCAAGGCACTCTCTGATAAATCCTCCAAACATCTCAAAGTCTGTCAAGACTTTGTTATAATTTGTGCTATTTCTGTATTTAAAAAAACACAATAATCACAATGGACTTGACCAGGTTCCACCAATCTCAAAGGTAACTAGAATAAAAGTGACTTCAAATTAGTTACACTGTACAATTACTATTACATTCAGTTAACAGCATTGCCCACCATATCTGACAGGTACTTGCTGTACCTGGCCCAAGAGCTTTGTGTCCATTGTAATTAAAATTTCAAAAATAGGAGTCATGAAAGTATAGTGCAAAGCATATAGACTCTAGAGTGAGGTGATCCTAAGATGTGAATCTTGAAGGCCTTCAACGAACATAACTGTGATAAATTATTTTTTCTTCCCCAAGTATTCTCACCTCTTTTAAAATGGGGATAATAGTGACTTTTTCGAACTGTCATGAGGTTTATACATAAATATATACATATATATTGCATCTAGCACACAGAAGATATTTATAATAGTAGTTACTACTATTATATATAAAACTGACTTGATCTTGCTTTGTTTTAAACTCATATCGAGATCATCATACTGTCATATGTAACTAATTAAAACAAATTAAAAAAAAAGACTGAGCAATAAAAAAAAAACAAAATTCATATAGAGATGATTGATCTGGTTACTAAAAGGGGTCAGGGATCACACAGTGCCAATTCTGGGGACTATCATTTGACACCAATTATAATAATACCATTTTTGATCAAGGCCTGCTTATAATATATGACTTGCTAACTACCTGTGGGGGTAGAACCTTTTAAAATATTTCAGGTAATGGCAACAGTGTTTAATAATTTGTTTGAACTAGTACAATGATAGCACACAGCAGACATACAGTGACTATTAAAAATCATGTAAAGATAGGAGTGGTGGCACATGCCTATAATCCCAGAGGCTCAGGAGACTGAGGCAGAAGGATTACGAGTTCAAAGCCAGCCTCGCAACTTAGTGAGCCCCTAAGGAACTCAGTGAGACCCTGTCTCTAAATAAAATACAAAAAAGGTTTGTGGTCAATGGTTAAGCGCCCATGGATTCACTTACGCAATACAAAAAAAAAAGATATAGAGATGCATGTACTAACATGGAAAGATGTCCACTATACTTTTCTTAAGTTAAAAAATAAAGTATAGAACAAATACACAGATGGTTTGGTTTGGGTGAGAGGACTACATTAAAAAAAAAAAAGTTTCATGAACATAACTTTTGTAGTAGTAGTAACAGCATAATAAAATTTCTTTGTTTTCAACTTCTGAGAAATAATCAAGCTGGGTAGGTAAGGTCACAACCATAATTCTAAACTTACTATTAAAAAGGAGAGGGGAAATGCTCCTCAACTGACGATGGAATTATGGAAACACTGTTAGGTCAAAAATGCATTTAATATCCCTAACCTACCAAACATCCTAGCTCAGCCTAGTCTACCTTAAACTTGCTCAGAACACTTACGTTAGCCTGCAGCTAGGCAAAATCATCAAACAAAAAGCCCATTTTGTAGTAAAATGATGAGTATCTTGGGTAATTTACTGAATACTGTACTGAAACCTTAAAAAAAAAAAAAATCCTTTCTTTTTTGCTGTTTGTTTCAGCTATAACTTGAAAAGTCAAAAAATCTTAAGATTGCAGGCTGGGGTTGTAGCTCAGTGGTTAGAGCTCTTGCCTAGCATATGCGAGGCACTGGTTTCAATCCTCAGCACTACATAAAAATAAATAAATAAAATAAAGGTATTGTGTCATCTACAACTAAAAATAATTAAGAAAAAAAGGAAAATCTTAGATTGGACCATTTAAGTTAGCAACTATCTGTATTCCATACCAAGTCAATTATAAAATCTCTCATTTAATTTTCATAATTCTGAATATTAACCATAAGTGAGATAAATTCAGTATCAAAAATTTAATTTCTTATTATCACAAGATTACACACACATAAGATTTCAAATTATATTCTGCAGTTCCCCCCAGGTTCTTAACTCTACTGTAACACAAGTCAAACTTATATCATAGTCAGTAGCTTCCAGTCCAGCCCCACAACTTCAAGGAAACTTGTCTTCTGACTCTCCAAACTCTAATGCTTGTCTAATATTCTGTGTAAGTGGCTTAAAGCAGCCTAGTCTAATGGGGAAAGTTTTGGGCTAGAAGTGAGACAAGCTGGGTCTCATTATTCCTGTATGTACTGCTATTAAGTGCTCATATTACAATTATAAGAATTTCTACATTAATAACTAAAATGAATTACAGATAAAACAACATATTAAGCCTAAAATATCAAAGACGCTAAACAAATGTAAATGCCCACAGCTTATTATTTTAAATTCTAACATAAGCAGATACCAAGAAGGAAAGTTTTTATGGGGAACAAAGAGGAATATCTCTCTGTAATATGTAAAGACTGTTATAAAGCCATATGTAAAGACCGTTAGTAGAAAACAAACCTGATAAGTAAAGGATATGATATGACGCACAGGGCTAAAACTGGCTTGGACTCTGGAAAGGGGTGCATATAATCCCAAATCAAAGCCACTATGGCAAAAAAACAGGAGATGGTACAGATGGTGAGGCGACCGTCAATTAGCCCAAAATTCTCCACATACTTGTACTTTTCCAGAAGTACCTAGTGAGAAGAAAAGGAATCAAGCTTCAGGAATGTTTTCTTCATGCTATGTGCTTTTACTCTTGATTTCTATGAAAAAGTTGTTAAAAATTATATGAATTAACAAAAAGTTCTCTCCAACAGGTATTTTACCATTCGAAACAAAGACAACTTAAGTCATTTATAAAGGATCCTAGGTAAAAAGTCCATTAACTCCTTACAATATATATATTTTTAAATCCTCAACTTTCCCGATAGGATATAGTTAAAACTTTTCTTTTCCCTTTTCAAATGGAGAAATGACTAACCATGGATAAATGACCAATCTTCTCTCAATCTTTTGTGCTCTAAGGGAATTCATCTCAAAAACAATAAATTACCAACTTTTCTGAGCTAGCCAACATTCACATTTAAAAAAATTTTTTTTTAGTTGTTGATGGACATACATACATTTATTTATTTATTTATATGTGGTGCTGAAAATCAAACCCAGTGCCTCACACATGCCAGGCAAGTGCTCTACCACTGAGACACAGCCCCAACCCCAGCCCCAGCCCCAACATTTAAATTTTAACATACACCCCCCATCCCCAATTATTCTGTAAGAGTTCTGGAAACTGCTGTATGCCTTATTTTCTAACATTGAAAATTAAGGATACTTCAAGTTAACAGAGTAAAAAGATCTTCAGGAAATGGGCTGTCATCTGTATACATGCTCATGGACCCTCAAGAAAGTACCTTTTTGGCAGAATCATCCAAAGAGTTTTTCACAGCTGATCCATCCCATTTGTCAATTTTTACAGGCTTATCATCAATTTTCCACTGTAAAACAAAGAGAAAAATTGTTCATCAAGAAACCCGACATCTCAATTAAAATAAAACAGGCTGCTTTCTTAAGAGTATCCTCAAGTATACATAACATTTATTCTTTGCCTTTTGATGATGGAGAGCTAAAATACAAAACAAAACAAAAAAAAAAGAGGCTGAAGAAGAGGAGACTAGGCCACTAGAATCAGTCGGTACTTCTGACATTCATGTGATGTTAATAGTCTCTAAGCAGAGAAGTCAAAATCTTGTACAAGCCCAGAACCAGAACACTTACACAGGCTAGTCTCTGTGAGCGTGTAATCATATTCTCCATCCCCATTTCACTCAAATGTGAGTAAAGAAAAGAATTCCATTTGTTCATCCTTTCATTCTGTAACCACAAAACTCAGAAAATACGTGCAGGAATTTATACACTAAACAGAATGGGCAGGGTTTCCTTTAATAAATACTTCTTTGTCAGGGGTGATAGTACTTGCCTAGCATGTACAAAGCCCTGGGTTCAATTCCAAACACCATCACAAAATATAGACAAAAACAAGTAAAAAATAAACAAACAAAAAACCCCCATTAGTTGTCCACTAACAACTTTTACATTTTAACAGGATGTCTTAATTTTAATTTTACAGCATGTACAGTAATCTAGTGCAATCTGTTAGAGCACTAAATTTTCAATCACAAACCAAGTCCCTGACCCAGTCCCAGCATCAATTAGTTATGTGACTTCGGAGAAACCTGCTTTAATTTGGTTATAAACAGAGGTTTAGAAAAGTTTTCCACATACTGCTTGCTATTCAGAGATAACTGATGTTTCACATGTTGTGAGCAGATATTCAAAATATTATAAGATCTACAAGTGAATTTAGCTACCTGGACTCAACATCCACTTCTGGAAATTTTTCTATAACTACACACATATGAAATAATATATAAAGCTACTCACTGCAACATTATAATATATAGCTTTATATATTATTTACATATAATATAAATAATATATTTTATATTATATATAAATATACAATACTTATATATAATATAAATATTATATATCTTTTCATAGAAGAAAAAAAAACTAGAAGTAACTCAAGTATTTATCTAAAGGGGGCTGATTAAATCAACTATGGTACATCCAGATATCCTACATGGGTAGAGAGAAGGAAATGGATGAAGAGTGAGCCACTAAAACTTTTAAAAACATGTGAATGTATTATATGGTTAAAAAAAAATCTCAAAATTCAACTGATTAAGTGAATGCAGCTTAAGTGAAACAGAGTGTTTATAAATAATGAGAAATCTTGGATAGATCACATTAGCCAACATTTATTCTTTTTTTTCTCCATTTTTTTATTAGCAACTCTTACTTAAGATAGAGTAAACAAATATTGTATTTCATAAAAATTCGAAATTGATTTGGCTTCAGAATGGATTAGTTTACTGAAGAACAGAAAACATTTATATCTTATCAACTTTTTAAAATTGGACTGTGATTCTATACACCAGTACACAAAAAGCACTGTTCTATAAAACTTGTTGAGGGGAAAAAAAACCCATGAACTAGAACAGTCATGCTTAAAAGTGATTAAGTCAATCAAAAATTTTCCCTCTGGTGCCTTATAAAAACAAAATTTTTCTTTCAGAACATTACTCATGATAGCATGCTGCAATACTGATTCTTACAACCTGCCAACCTACAAATCATACACAATATCAAATTCTAAAAATACCAATTGAATCATGAATTATAGGGTTTTCTAGCTACATAGCTAGATCACATGCACTCAGTCAAGTAAACCTCATTTTGATATATACAAGCAAAAGAAAAGACCTTGAAAATTCACAATAAAAATTCAAAATAAAATTTATGAAATAAAATCATTTAAAAGTTTTAAGTAGGGCTGGGGTTGTGGCTCAGCAATAGAGTGCTCACCTAGTACGTGCGAGGCGCTGGGTTCAATCCTCAGCACCACATAAAAATAAGTCAGACAGAGAAAAAAATTCAAGTAAAAGAGAAGGCCTCTCGAGCTAGTCAGACAGAGGTAAAAATTCAAGTAAAAGAGAAGGCCTCTCGAGCTAGTCAGACAGAGAAAGAAAGTTTAGAGCAGAAAAAGCCATCAGGGGAAAAGTTACAACAGGAGACTACTACTAACACCTTTCTATCACCAGAGGGCGTAAGTGTCCAACCAACAACACCACCTCCATATGCTGGGAGGCCCCCAACCCCCGCAGTTGATAGACGGGATCCTGAGACAGGATCTCAAATATTAACATGCCCTGTATTTGAGGCAGGAGGGCAGCGAATTCACAATGCTTTAAATTTCAAAACAGTGAAGCAGCTAAAAGAGGCTGTAACAACCTATGGTCCTCAAGCACCCTTCACTGTAAGCATGGTCGAATTCATTAACAACTTGAATGACGCCAGCAGATTGGGCTAATATGTGTAAAGCTGTGGTAAATGGAGGACAATACCTGTTATGGAAGGTTGACAATGAGGAATTTTGCATGGAGACGGCTAGGCAAAATGCAGCAGCTGGTTATCCTCAGAGAAATCTAGATATGTTGTTAGGAAAGGGACCTTATAAGGATCAGCAGCAACAAATTGCATATGATCCTGGCGTATATGCACAAATTGCTATAGATGCGGTTAGGGCATGGAAGACTTTACAAGGACATGGAGGTTTACAAGGTCAATTATCTAAGGTAATACAAGGAGCTAATGAACCTTACACTGAATTTGTAGATAGGCTTATTCAAACAGCTACCAGAGTTTTTGAGAATACAGAACAAGCAATGCCATTAATAAAACAACTGGCTTATGAGCAAGCGAATCGTTGGTGCAGAGAAGTCATTAGATCATGGAAACATGAAAATTTAAACACATATATTAAATTATGTAGAGACATTAATGAACAAGGGCAAGTCGTGGCAGCTGCAGTAAAACGGGTTTTAGATGCCAGACCAAGAATATGCTACAATTGTGAACAAACAGGACATTTTAAAAGGAATTGCCCCATAGGAGGAGGGTTTAACAAAACTAGGTATCAAAGGAGTAGAATACCGGGTATTTGCCCACAATGCCGTAGAGGGAGACATTGTGCTAATGAATGCCGTTCTCAAACCACCATAGAGGGTACTCCATTATCAAAAAACGAACAAGGACCAGGTGTTTATCCACGATATCGTGGACAAAGCATCAGGCTCTGTTGCCAAAAAAATGGACAGGGGGGGCCCAATGCTCCGGGGCCCAAGACCACAAATATACGGAGCACTGGAGGAACCCAGCAACCCCATCAGGGTAGTGCCAGGACACATTGTCCATTAGATCTCTCATCAGACAAACCAGAGGGAGCGCAGGGTTGGACATCTGCGCCTCCACCAGAGCAGTACTAACTCCAGAGATGGGAGTTCAAATCATTCCCACAGGGGTAAAAGGACCTCTTCCCCAAGGAACAGTAGGCTTATTATTGGGACGCAGTTCTTCTACTCTAAAAGGACTTATGATAAGTCCTGGGGTAATTGATCCCGATTATGAAGGTGAAATAAAAATTATAGCCAGTTCTCCAAAAGGTATATCAGTAATTTCACCAGGAGATAGAATAGCACAGTTACTAATAATACCCAGCCTACATGATAAATTTTCCAGTCGTACTATAGAAAGAGGTTCCAAGGGATTAGGCTCCACAGGTGTAGATTGGGCTATGCTTTCTTTAAATTTAGATTCTCGCCCATGCTAAAACTAAATATTCAAGGACATGAATTTAATGGGCTACTGGATACAGGTGCACACCTTAGCATCATCTCTCGTCAAGAATGGCCAAAACACTGGCCATTACAACAAGCCACTCAAACGCTTCGAGGCCTAGGAGTGGCGACTAATCCCCATAGAAGTGCAATGGTATTAGATTGGAAGGATCCTGAAGGATGTGAAGGAACTATACAGCCATATGTATTGGATCATCTTCCCGTAAATTTATGGGGAAGAGATGTCCTAGATCAATTAGGTTTGACATTAACAAATAACATCAACCAAAATGCACCCACTATTATGACTAGACAAGGTTTTAGGAAACGAAAAAGATTAGAAAAACAAGAATAAGGTATAGCAGCACCAATACAAATAGATCAAGGAACAGAAAGACATGGGTTGGATTTTCAGAAAGGGCCACTGAGACATAAAAATTACTTGGAAATCAGAAAGACCAGTATGGGTTCCTCAGTGGCCCCTGACTAAAGAAAAGATACATGCAGTCCATGACCTGGTCAAACAACAATTAGCGGAAGGACATATACAACCTTCTGTATCTCCCCATAATACTCCCATTTTTGTCATCAAAAAGAAATCTGGTAAATGGAGATTATTGCAAGATTTAAGAGCCATTAATAATGAGATGGTTATTATGGGACCTGCTCAATCGGGGATTCCTCAATTGTCTGCTTTGCAAAAAACTTGGTATGTTTTAGTTATAGATATTAAAGATTGTTTTTTTTCAATTCCAATTCATCCTGAGGATAGTGCACGTTTTGCATTTACTATCCCTGCACTGAATCATGAAGGTCCTGATCAGAGATATGAATGGAAAGTATTCCCTCAAGGGATGGCGAACAGCCCAACTATGTGTCAAATTTATGTTAACAAACTAATCCAGCCACTTAGAAATCAAAATCCTGAACTACAAATATTTCACTATATGAATGATGTATTATTAGCACACAAAGATAAAACACATTGCTAGAATGTTATGCCACACTTACAAACTTATTAAAAAATTATAATCTAGAGATAGCAATAGATAAAGTACAATTAAATTTTCCAATTAATTATTTAGGAGTTCTATTATCCTCAACCATGGTCCGTCCACCAAAAATTCAAATACGAGTAGATCAACTCAAATCACTTAACAACTTTCAAAAGTTATTAGGAGACATAAATTGGATAAGGCCTTATCTAGGTATACCAACAGGAGAGTTGGGACCTTTATTAGATATCCTAAAAGGTC